GGTGCTTCCTGGGGCAGCAGCACTGCCATTTAGTGTCTCCACCCACTGCATTAAGACACTGAGCTTTCCTCATAGATTTGCATTGATTCAATGCATCTCTATGAGGAGATGCTGATTGGCCAAGGCTGTGTTTGGCTTGTGTTGGCTCTGACCCTGATCTAAATCCTTGACAAGCTCAGCCAATCCAATGTGAAAGCATTGTGATTGGCTCAGAACACAACTTCTGATGATGTCAGCCAAGCAGGCAGTTCAGGGGCAGAGCCAGCAGCAGCAGACTGCAATAAAGGTAAGATTTTGCTATATGTTTTTTTAACACTATAGGGTGAGGAATAAATGTTTGTGTTTCTGACCCTATAGTGTTCCTTTAACAATTGTTAAAAATCCCTTTTCATTTGTGGTTGTTATTTATCTTTCACTACTGTTTAGAGCACCTTTATAGATGTTGCTGTTAAAATGCAAAGATTATTCAATTTGTTTTTATAGTTACAGTGCACAGGGTTGGAAGGGCTGAAACAATATAGGGGCATGCAAACTATATTGTTAAGGCTACAGATCCAAACACTATTGCAGGCATAGGCAACCTTCGGCTTTGCCAGCATTACAGGTGTAAGAGCATTATGGGGGATGTAGCCTAAAACATCTGGAGTGCCGGAGGTTGCCTATCCCTGCACTATAGTGTTCCTTTAACTTTTTGCAATTATCTTAGCATTTCACTAGCTTGTATTTCTTATGGAAAATTAATTTAAAAAAATGTATGCACACATTTGTGATGACTATACATGAACCTAGCCAATAAAACTACCCTATTGTGATATTTTTTCCAACACATAAAATCACCTGTTTCTTTTGTTGCAATTCGAGTGTCCAAAAAACAGCACTATTTTCATCTGAAATGTTGCAGGAATAGCATCTATACCTCAAAATCATTCATTAAGGTGAAATGTTTTAGGTGCTTAGACTCTCCCTTTAAAAAAGAATGGGTCAACTCTAACCGGGATTGTGCCTTTAAGAATATTAAATAATTAATCACCCAAGTCAAAGGTTTTTTGGTGAAATGAAAGAAAGTTATCCATCTCAAGTTTTATTTTCATAAATTATTCATTAGAAAACTATTATCTTGAATTGTTTTTCTGAACTAGTCCTTAAAATGTTTTTTTTTTTTTTTTTAAACAAGTCCTTGATTTTAGGTAGCTATTATCTAATTTTTGGATTCAGGAGCATTATTTTTGAGAAACAATATTTTCAGTCGATATGCTAAATTCCTATAATTACAGCGTGTTTACCTTTACACTATGTAATGGCTATGGTATCAGGAGTCCCCTGGTGCTGTCCTTTGATAAGGTATCAAATGTTTATGAATGGTTTCACACTTACCTGGCTCTGTTGGGCAACCACATTCCTTCCATTCAGCTCCGATATTCTAAAGTGGTAGTTCATACTTCTGCATTAGCAATGGTAATTTTGTGCAACTTTGGACATAATTCATTCGCTAAGTGTTAGCTGTCCGGAAGGACAGAGGGTAACTGGCAAAGCCAGTAAATGTCAAACTGCTTATAAACCGTTTCACTGCTTACTGTGGGATAGCACATAGGGATTGGGTCTGTAACCACTATGGCCTTTAGTAGGGATTATAGTGCTTGGAGTGCCCCTTAAATTTAGCTAAGTATCCACTTCTTACTCCTTAATATTTATTCTGCTCTAGTTAACACTATGTCAGAAAGTGGCTATATGGGATATGTTTTGTTTAATGTGCAAATTGCACAAAAATAAGGGTGGATTTGATTTAAATCTCAATTTAAATCATGATTTTTATATGTAAATACTTAGTCTTGCTGGTGGTTGTACTGTTTAATATTTGCAACCAGATGAAGATTTCATATTTAGAATAATAACCTTTCAGATTAGGAAAATAGCTATATCAGAACTGATTTTAGATTAATAGGTTAATTGCTCATATTTGGAGAACTACTTAAATGTTTTTTTTTTTTTTTACTATGCTTATTATGTATTTATCATTGTATTCACTCAGTACGGCATAATAAATTATATGTGCTTATTTCAACTTCTTATTTCTTTTTAGCAACTTTATAAAATGCAGTGCCATGTAGTGACAATAACAAATATATATAATTGCTCTAGCATGACAATTCCTTATGGCAGACGTAAAAATATATGGTGAAATAAAAACCATTTACCAACCTGAAGGTCCTGCCTCTTCAAACATGTTCCTTTCATCACAGCACTTCTAGTGATGTTTCATTGGGGCTGCCAGGCCTTGCATGTCTTTATTGCACTGCTAGTATTTTGCACACATACCTGCTTTACCCATAGGTAGAGGAACTTTATTAAAATATTTCCAAACGTGGTCTCTCTTACATCCTGCTCCCATTTTGCTCCTGGTACAGATCTATTTCACTCCAAACAATCTTAAATACCTAGCACTTAAAGGGACATTGTGGTCACCAGAACAATTACAGCTTAATGTAGTTGTTTTGGTGTCTATAGCATGTCCCTGCATTTCTCCCTAGGCGCACCTCCAGTGGCAGTCACTCAGACACTGCACTGCTGTTCAACGCCTTCCCACTCTGCATAGAGACGCTGAACTTTCACCATAGAGATGCATTGAGTCAATGCATCTTTATGAGAAGATGCTGATTGGCGCAGCGTGTTGTTTTGCCATGCAGCTATAGCCTGGATTGGCTGAGATTGGCGAAGCGTGGGCGGAGCCAGGAGCAACCATACCCATGCAGCACTGGGAAAAGGTGAGTAAATCACCTTTTTTTAACCAGAGATAAAGTGGCCGGGGGCCTAAACAGCTAGTTAGAACTATAGGACCAGGAATACACATTTGTATTCATGACACTATAGTGCTATTTTAAGGTAATGTATTCATTGTTTGTACATAGACTTGCAGAACAATTGTGGGATTAAGGTCTTTTCCTGAACTTTGTTTATTTTATAAAATGTTTACTGTGAAAAAGTGCATGTTATCTCGGTTTTGATAACTTGGATTAATTGAATTAGTTTACCAAAAATGTAATTATTGCATGAATATACAGCCCCATGTTACATAACTCTAAACTCTAGTTCATGATGATTAACCTTTGAACTATAATGTATCTTAAATAGAAAACTATTTTTAGATAGATATTTCCTCCAAAAGCATTTATTAAAAATAAATTTGATTTGCATAAAAAAATCTGATTTATATTTAAAAAAATTATATATATATTTTTTTTAATTATTGATTTTATCCACCCTGCACAATATACATACATACATTTTATTATCAATAATTCTAAAAATAGTGAGCTCTACCGGCAAATTTACAGTGAGCTTTTTGTGCATGTAGATACATATTTCATATCAATGGATCCTTTCATTCCCCATGGTCTGTGCTTGGTCAAAGTCCCTCCATGATTGGCCAACTGGATTTGGTTCTGTGCTCTCTAACAATATGTTTCTTCTGTAGAGTGCTTCAGAAACTATAATGAATTTTTAAATTGCATGCTGAAATGGGTTTCACATTCCAATTACAGTAAATTAAAATATTACTGATTGCTATCAGGTTATGCAGAACCATGGCCAGTTGGTGGCCTTGCACATAAGCTCTGGTTGTTTTAGGACTTTGTACGGAGTGCTTCCAAGTGAGTAATGTGCCTGTCCTCTCAACAATAGGCATACCTGCAACAAGCCCAAGACCTGGTCATTCTAGAGAGCATTATACTGCAGACCCTGGGTAAGTCTTCCAGAGCGGCTGGATATGTGGTACCTGAAAAGCCCTAACAAAGCTTTGTCCACAGCTGTGGACCAAGACTGACCTGGAGGACGAGTCTGCAGAATAAAAGTGCACTGTTGGTTAATAATGTTTGCCATGTTGTTGTGTTACCAAATGTGATCTTTTGATTCCATAGTTTTTAGTCTCCATTATTACCAGACAAAACTTACCCTCAAATATACCCTTTTTAGGAGGACGAGGAGTCTCTTAAAGGGTACAGTGATGGTAACATTGCTTACATGGTTTGCTTATATAAGTGATGTTTAATAGTATTATCATAGATCATGACTGTTATTGATATTACAAGGTTTGTATTTTCTATATAATTACACATATGTTTTTAGACCTATACTAGGATATAGAAAGTAAATGGAGAGGATGTCACAAATTGAGAAACATGATTTGCGGGCATTTACCTGGATCTCTGACTTATTTTTCATCCATGTTTTTATTCAATATTTTCAGAGTAATCATACAGTCTTCTAGTAAGCTGATATATGTGGTACATTATAGCTATTAACTTCCTTTCTTCTTGCAGGATTTGAGATTACGATAGACCATCCTCATACCCATGTTGTGAAATGCACTCAGCTAGTCCGAGGTAATACATTCTTATATAAATATATACTCCACTGTTTAGAAATTATATATTATATTATATTTAACATCTTCACTATGTTTGAAATGTATTTGCCATTTTTGTTTGCCAGGGGTATAAAAATGTTCACACTATTGATATCTAGATTTAGGCAGAGGAAGTATCAAATAGTTATTCTTGTTAATCTTTAGACCCCCAAAAAAGGTAATACGATAATAAATTAATACTCTCTTCATTAACTCATAAAATAAAAAATATTACATATTTGGTGGCTGTTTTAAACAAGGGAAAAAGGGAAATGAGAAAGAAGCATAAACAGTTCTTATAGCGATTTACAAGATATGAAATGTTTTGTTCAGCAATATCCCAGCTTTTTTTATTACCTTGTTTTGTTTTGGTGCACTTCATAAAGGTGATGTAGTATGATAAAAGACTATAGTGTAAGGACACAAAATATATGTACATAGCTGCACAGTCACGTAATATAGCCTGTAGGAAAGCTTATACATCCCATAGCTCCCTATTCAACAGACAATGTATATAATATTTGAAGCATGCATGACTGTCTACTAATTTTCCAAATTCTATGTACTCTCACAAGTTTTTGCAGTGTTGATGAAATTGGAATTGCACTATTTTCTGATATCCAATATCTGTGCAATTCTGCTAATCACATGTTGACAGTCATTATCAAATACTTAATTAAAGGATGTATTCTCCTTCCACACACACATTTTAGATATCATACTGAAACATAAGGCTCATTCCCAGACTGGAACCTCTTTCAAATTGCTAAGTATATTCATAGGTTTATATTCCCAGTCCTTTCTTTCTCTTGTTGATCTTAAGTTTTCTTTTCTCATATGACCTGTGCTGTGATCATACTGCAGAAATGATGTCACTGGCAGGTCATTTATTTTCTTTTTAGTGGTGTAATAGTAGATTAATATTAATAGTATGTTAATTCACTCTATCTTTTCTCCTCAGCGAGCAAGGATTTGGCACAGACATCTTACTTCATGGCAACAAACAGGTTAATATCCTGACTTACTTTTCAGTCTCTTGGTGGGGACTTTTTCACAGTGGTATATTGGAATGGAACATTTATGGGTTCTAAGTTATGTTGGGAGTCTTCATCACAGGTTTACCTACTTCTTTTTTGAGAAAGACACCAGAAGTAAGTATTTTCTCTAATACTTGTTTTAATTTCCCATAGCCTGCATTTAACCACCTTCAGCCTTCAGTATACACCCCCAGTTGTGGCATGTGTCTGCATTCACCTGGCCTGTAAGTGGTCGAACTGGGAGATCCCTGTATCAACAGATGGAAAACCATGGTGGGAGTATGTGGACGTAACTGTTACTTTAAAACTTTTGGACGGTTAGTATTAAGTAATTGTGTTCTTAATTGTACTTTTGTATGAACATGCCATGACCAATCTATATTTTCTATCTTCAGATAGATGATGGTGGTTGAAATTATATAAATATTTGTAGATCAAGTTTAGTCAACTTTGCCGGTAAATTACCTTTTGGTTCTTTTTTTTCGGATGCAGGGACGAGCCTAAATAAGTGAAAATCATTTTCAAGCACTGCTAATTGTATTGTCCTTAGTTGCTTTGGAGTAATGCATTTCCTCTTTTGGTTAGTCCATATTTCATATTTTGTTATGCATGAGCTTTTACAGTCCCCAGAAAACCACCCAATAAGTTATACAATATATATTATCTGTTTAGTTGTGGATCACTGTTGTGATGAGCTATAGCAATTAAATAAGCTGGGATCACTTAAGGCAGTGACCCACAGCTAAATAGTTATAGGATATAACAACTATAACAGTTATAACAGTGTGCATAAGAGATAAAGGGGGGATAGGTAAATCTGTTAGTGAGTGGGGTTTGAGAGACTGAAGGTAGTGAGAGATAAGATGCTTGGGGGGAAATAGGAGGAGGTCTCTCAGAGGCACTATGGGGATATTCTATGACATAGTAGAGAAAGGCATAGGGTGTCATGACTGATATGGACAAACTAAATTAATTAATGATATAGAGCACAAAAAGTTAATATATATGTTTCACTTTTAAACATGTAATCTTTCTTTAATATTAATATAATTTAATGTCTTTTAAATATTTTCTCTTACTGCACACATGAAACTGAGTACGTTGTGTTAATCATAGGTGATCCTATGCCTTACCAGAGGTGGTGTATAATTGGCAATGCACAGGGCTACTACCATCAGAGCTCTGTGTGGTGTGATTTGGAAAATGAAACATTTCCTTGTATGGGGAGGGGGATCATCTCACTATACCTCAAGGAAATTATCTTCCTGCACCCTCAAGGTCTTGAAACAGAAGGGTGGCTAAATGTATATGTTTGTGTAAATCTTTGAGTATGGTAGTGTTTATGTTTGTCTGCAAATGTGTATCTCTGTATTTGAGAATTTATGTGTAGATGGTAATATGTGTGCATAAGTTTGTATCTGCTTGTATGTGTGGGGTATCCTTACAAATGATTTTCTAAAGGGCCACATGATTTCTGATGGTTGCACCTGCACCAAAATTTGTATTGCTTCTTGTTATTTCTGGATTTTCTTTGCTGTTTTTTTTTTCCTGACATTATTTGCTTTTTATACAGTCATAGTTTTTCTAGTCTGTTTCTATATTTCAATACAGGATGTATATACATATAGGATGTCCATGAGTTAATGTGGTGGGAGGAAAGACTGGTTATTGTAAATTTTTATAATCAGTTTTTTTTTTGGGTGGGGGGGGGGGTTGTTCTGTTCATAAGGGTTGTTCTGTTCATAAGTCCTCTAAAAATATATATTTCATTTGAGTTTTGCATGTATTTTGTTGTTCATTGCAGAGCTGACTCATGAGTTTCTTCAGATTCTTGAAAAAACTCCCAATCGTTTAAAGCGGATCAGAAACTGGAGGGTAAGCTAATGCAAATCTTCTTTTAATGATTACAGTGCAGATAATACATTGTATATTAGTCCTCTTTATCACCACTTCCCTTCACACCAAATAGGGTCAGGAAAAGACCCCATAACAAAACAAGACCACCTCTCACATAAACCTGAAACAGTAGTAGACTACGCTGTGAGAGAAGCAAAAGTTAAAAACAAATAAACAGTTTGCTTGATTAATTTACAGATTATGATTAAACATTTGGTTGATCTGTATAACTTCTAACTAAACCCAGCAAGCAACTGTGCATTTAGTCACGTGTCAATATCAGTTATAACATTTCGCAGTTACTGCTCTTCTTCAGTCACGAAACCTAAATACGTTTTTCAATGAGAATGTTGTTCAGGGCATATTCACAATAACAATTGTAATAATCTGCAACTTCTTTAGTTTGACAATTAGCATGGGCAAAACTATTTTTGATTAGTGCAGGTAAAACTTGAAGAAGACAAAATCCCTTTGAATGTAGTATATAATATTTCTGTTTACTTATTTACAGATCAGTCAGGCAGCTAGGAAACCAAAAGAGGATGGCTGTGAAGATGATGATGACAACAGTCTCAATGAACAGACAATTCTTAGGATGATCTCTCGAACAGGTGTCATGAACAGCTCCCCTTTTTCAGATTCCTCTTTGCAGCCTTTTTCTGCAACAAAGGTGGATGCTGGAATGTCAGGTGGACAGTGGGGGGCCCCACTACATAATCAGCGAGAGCAACACAGGACTAGTGAACATAGTGTTTCTTCAGAACAGTCCCAACTAATTAGCACCAAGCCAGTTTCACTGGCAAAAGTGTCGCTTAAGGAGTATCGTGCAAAGCATGCAGAGGAGTTGGCTGCACAGAAGCGGCAGTTGGAGCACATGGGTGCAAGTTTGAAAGAACAGTATGCATGTGCTGCTCAGAGTTTGCTGATACAGCAACAGAAAGAACGTGAAAGGGAGGTAAACACCTCCCCAATCATCTTGAAGATTCCTTTGCATGAGGTAAGCCATGAGCGACAAGAGAAATCAAGCTTGAAGCTCCGTCTTTCTGTGTCAAGCCGTGAAAAGCATGAAGAGGGTAAGATTCGTATCAAAGTGCCAAATGAGGAGGGTGGAGGCAGCAGCAGCAGCAAAAGCCGTGATAAACGTAGCTCCTCATCCTCACATCATCACCACCATCACCATAACAACCAGTCTGTCCGCCAGCACCACCAGGAAACATCTAGCAGCTCAAGCAGTAAAAGATCGTCTACACCTCTAGTGGGTTCCTCCCACAAATCATCAGTCCCTTCCCGTAAAAGACCAGCATCAGATGAAATAAGTGGGCATGAACCTACTTCCCACAAAGTGAGTAGGACTTCTAAAACATTGGCATTTGAATCTCCTATGGCACAGGCTACACACAGATCACGTGCAAGTCACTGCAAACCAGACAAGGAGCCGACTGGTGCCAATGGACATAGTGCCCCCAAAGCCATTGATTATCAGGACACTGTAAATATGTTACATTCACTGTTGAGCGCACAGGGAGTGCAACCCATGCCGCCCCCTCAGTATTTGAATCAATATGGTGACTATCGCAGGGCTAGACCTAGCGGCACAGACAAGCCTAAACCTCCCCCACTCCCTGCTGAACCACCTCCCCCACTCCCACCACTCCCTGAATGATGACCTGTCTCTGCAGGCTTCACTTGTGTGTCTAGACAGGTGGATAGATATTAGCCACCTTTTTAGCACAATTTTACCAGCATACTGTTCTTCTCAGTCTCTGCTCTTCCATGTTTTTATTTCCCACACCAACTCTTTTGTCTTCATACTCTTAACTTTCCTATTGATTTTAAAGTTTCTACTTTAGACAATGTCCTTGGGGTTTTTATTTTTGTTTTTTGTCAGTCTAGGATGTCAGCCCCTTCACAATATCATCTTATCCTTTCTGTACCTTACTCTGTGTGATTGATATCTTGTCATGGTTGCTCTTTGCCTCTCTAAAACGGGTCATAGGTTTTAAAAATAGGTATTGGAAGCAATGAGAAAATGTAACCCAGAGAATAAGATGTTGATGCTAATTCTGTTTGTTCATTTATTTTTTTCTAAGCATTATGCTACAGGTACGGAATATGTATATAGGTTATCTTTAGTTTTTATCAATGTGATCGTCACAGTGTCATCTCAGGTCTTCATTTATCTTTCAAAGGATGATGTATTTGTCAGGTCGAATCATTGTGCATGTTATACGGGTTGTGTGTTTACATATTAGGCCTTTTGATATGATTTAAAAACACCAGATTTTTTTAGAGTTACTGCTGTTCACTCTCTTGCAGTCAATAGAATTTAGGCCACACAAAAAAAGCTAAAATCTTTCTTGTAATTTTGTATTCCTTTTTTTCTATCAGCAGGCTTAGAACTTCAAATCCTTGCAACTGTGAGCAACAGAAAGAAGGAAATTAGGAAATTGGGACCTTCTTGCACTATAAGTTATGTAAGATAATATGGTGCTTGGAGTGTCTCTTTAAACGAACACCCCAAGCACCATAAAACACTACAGCCCACTGTTGTGGTTATGGTGCCAAGAGTGCCTTGGTGCCATCAAATGGTAAGTAGTCAAACTGCTTTAGTATGATTTGAGAACTTACCTGTGTCCCTCCAGACAAGTGTATCCACAGCCCAATCTTCTCCTTTAGGAGACTCCAGTCTAAGCAGGGCCATGGAGAATCACGCTTATTGGTTGAGAGCATCAGATGAGCATGCTCATCCAGTGAGTCCTGTTATGCATAGGACAGGATCAACTCTGCAGTGACATCTGGCTTCTCCTATAGGAGAAGACCGGAGGCAACCTGAGGGGCCCAGATAACTTGTCAAACCGCACTAAAACAATTTGCTACTAACTGTGGAATACTGCTAGGGCAGTCCTGGCCGCATAACCACTACAGCTGTAGTGGTTATGGTGCTTGGAGTGTCCCTTAAAATAGAAAGCCGTTATCTGGAAAATGACAGCACATTGTATCTTGTGGAATCCTTCCAATATTTTATATAGTTGTTACACACCTTGTCACCATAGCTAATTAGAAATTGAAATGCTGCATATGAGCAGCAAATGTGTTTTACATATATTTTTCAATATCATTTTATTCTTTAGAATGATGGACTCCCACTTGTATAATATAGTACATACAGACTGTTCAATGGTGTATTGTGTTTTCAACATTGCATGTCAAAGTGGTGATCCTTTGTCTGCTTTCAGTAAATCTAGCAAGGGTAAACCATGCTATTGTTTGTCTGCTATTCTAGTTGTAATGGTTTTAGAAGGCTCCATAAGAGAGTGTTTTGTCAGTTGACCAGATAATGTTTTTAGGTTAGCTGATGGTGAAGTGGAGCTATTTGAAAAGTATTGCCCATGAGCGACTTGTTTCTTAAAGGGATACTACAGTGAAAATGTTTTTACTATCTTTATTAACACAGTCAAATTATATAAGATACATTTTATAGTGATATATGTCTTATTTCAAACATTTTTAATGTTTGGGGGGTTTATGTTTTTTGTTTTGTTTTTTACCCGTTGCATTGAGATATGTTCCTTCCACTACTAGAAGCAGAGCTAAATTTCTGTAATTCTTTCATTCTGCAGAGGTTTTTTAACATATGGCAAATGAGAGGAGGCTAGTAATCTTGTATGGGATGCTGCCACTAATCAAATAATATTTACATCAAGGTCATCCAGAATTATTTGAATTCCATTTCTTAACTGAGTGTAAGAGCTCTATTCACAATACCAGTATCTCTGTTGCTCTAAAACAATTTAGCAATAGTTTACAGTGTCCTTAAAATGAAATCGGATAAACCATTTAATAAGTGTCCCTACAAAAGTAAAATTAAACCTATAAATAAACGCAGTCCTTTAAAGGAACATCTAAAGCACCACAGCCATTACAGCACATTGTAGTGGATATGGTGCCAGACGTGCCCTGGTGCACCCTGTTATAAGTTCAGTTTTAGAATGGTATAAACTCTTACCTGGAATCCATCAGGCACTGCTCTCCACTTTCGCACCTGAAAGCGGGGCTTAGCTCATTAGCTGAGCGTAATCAGCTGCTGCTCTCAGCCACATTGCACTGCACGGCTTAGCTAAGGTAAGCCGACAGAAGTTCATAAAGGACACCTGTCACCTCAACACAAATTCTTAACATAAAGATCCTTTCATCAATTGTATTATACTTTTACAGTGTATGTTAAAAAAAGGAATGCCTTCCTTTAGTATATGACAAGATCCTTCAGCCATATACATACACCGTGGGTCAGACAGTGTTTCCCTGCTTCACTCCCTGCACAGTGCAGTGACATCATCAGACCAACTAACTGTCTAATTCAAGCATATCCTTTCATATACTAAAGTAGGTATGAGATTTTCATTTTTTTTGAACTGTTCATTAAACAAAAAAAATCTATTTCCTTTCAAAATTTGCTCAATGGGTTATTATATTTAAATAGTGTTATGGTGACAGTTTTCCTTTAAGCAGAAGCTTATGGCTTTCTGTCAGAAATAGTGCAGGCAAGGATGCAGCACCTGGCAAACCTGTAAGAAGTCATACCAGTCTGATAGCAAACATTGCAGTGTGCCAGGGCACTCCTGGCACCATACAGCCCCTGTAGTGGTTATAGTGTTTGGAGTATTCTTTTAATAAGATTTTGACCCTATAGATAAATGAAATTGAACAAGCAGTTTGTGAATTGACTGGCATAATTTGAAACTTCACATTAATGACTCATTAAAAAAATTGTCAACTATTTCTTACGTCATTATTATAGATTTACATATTAGTATATACATATAAATATTTAGTCTCTGTCTTCCTTAATATCCATATTTTAAAGTCGGTAAAAATAATTTTTTATTAATTTCTTTTGCCACATTTTTTACTACTTGTGTACTGAAAAGTCTTTTTTTTCAGGATTTCTTACAAAAGGGACTGTAATGTAAAACACTGATTTGGATAATTAATTAATGGAAATATAAACCTGGATCTTCGGTATAGTTGAGAATCCTAAAATGTATTTTGCTTTTGTTGATCTCAGCTAGGATCTTTCAACTAATTTACATTACAATGGTTGTTAGGGATCTCAAATCAATTTTTTATTATTTTTTTTTTATAGGTTGGTGAATTTTACCAATTTTTTTTTTTCTTAATGTAGATCACTTACCATATTTTTTAGAAAAAAATATATTTCTTTAAAGCAACCATGCTGGTTTTTTTAATTTATTTTTTTTAAATGTATTAAAGGGACACTATAGTACCTGAACAACTTTAGCTTAATGAAGCAATTTTGGTGTATAGAACATGCCCCTGCAGCATCACTGCTCAATCCTCTGCCATTTAGGAGTTAAATCCCTTTGTTTATGAACCCTAGTCACACCTCCCTGCATGTGACTTGCACAGCCTTCCGTAAACACTTCCTGTAAAGAGAGCCCTATTTAGGATTTCTTTATTGCAAGTTCTGTTTAATTAAGATTTTCTTATTCCCTGCTATGTTACTAGCTTGCAAGAGCCTCCTGTATGTGTTTAAAGTTCAATTTAGAGATTGAGATACAATTATTTAAGGTAAATTACATCTGTTTGAAAGTGAAACCAGTTTTTTTTTTCATGCAAGCTCTGTCAATCATAGCCAGGGGAGGTGTGGCTAGGGCTGCATAAATAGAAATAAAGTGATTTAACTCCTAACTGACAGTGAATTGAGCAGTGAAATTGCAGGGGAATGATCTATACACTAAAATTGCTTTATTTAGGTGACTATAGTGTTCCTTTAATCTTTTCAGTGGAAACAATGGCAACAAAAAAGGGAAAATGGAAAAAAATATAATATATCAATATACTTTATATTTGTCAACAGATTATTAGACTGGACTGTGTGCAAAGCAAATATATTATTTGTAAATAAATATGTATATACTGCTAAGAAATATCTATGCAAAATGTGCGACTGAAGTTGTAAACCATGTTTCTTTTTGTGGGAAGCCAACTTTTAGAAACAACATCAAGTACTTAAGGGCCAATTAAAATTAGATACGGTTAAGTAAAGAGGTGTGTAATCCCAGTGCAGTATGCTGTGGCAAAGTTTTGTTTCCAAGAGACATGCAAAGCAGACAAACATGTTGAATAGCAGCACTCTAGCAGTGAACACAATATAACAGTGTATATATATATGTTGAATGGAAATTGATGTGATTGTTAGCAGCCCACTCGTTTTGTGATGTTTGCAGTGGCTTTTCAAAATATGTTAGGGTACATCAGTCTGCTAGTCAGCATGTTTGGCTGTTTGAATACACCATCTGTTCCTTTGGGGTTTGTCTCTCCACATAAATTCTGAATAAATACTTGATTTTTGAAGCTGTTTCATATGTCGTTAGACATGCACGGTTTATCAATAAAGAGAAAAGCTGAATCAAAGTTCTAAAACTGGAAATATAATCTGCAACACATGTTGATGGTCAGTCTCCATTTTGAAACTTTGACTCAGAAATGGTCTTTAAGTCACCTGAACAACTTTAGCTTAATGAAGCAGTTTTGCTGTATAGAACATGCCCCTGCAGCCTCACTGCTCATTCCTCTGCCATTTAGGAGTTAAATCCCTTTGTTTATGAACCCTAGTCACACCTCCCTGCATGTGACTTGCACAGCCTTCCATAAACACTTCCTGTAAAGAGAGCCCTATTTAAGCTTTCTTTATTGCAAGTTCTGTTTAATTAAGATTTTCTTATCCCCCTGCTATGTTAATAGCTTGCTAGACCCTGCAAGAGCCTCCTGTATGTGATTAAAATTCATTTTAGAGATCGAGATACAATTATTTAAGGTAAATTACATCTGTTTGAAAGTGAAACCAGTTTTTTTTTCATGCAGGCTCTGTCAATCATAGCCAGGGGAGGTGTGGCTAGGGCTGCATAAACAGAAACAACATGATTTAACTCCTAAATGACAGTGAATTGAGTAGTGAAATTGCAGGGTTATGATCTATACACTAAAAGTGCTTTATTTAGCTAAAGTAATTTAGGTGACTATAGTGTTCCTTTAGTATCCCCACTATTTCAGGGTTGCTGAAGTAGTAATGAGATCATTTTTTGTTTTTCTTGCTTTTTCACTCTAAAAATAGATTGTTTTCAAAATCAATTGGCTGCTTTACAGGACATGCTTAACATAAATATACAGAGGCCTGCCATCCACTGCAGCCTATCTAAAAGGTCATCTCCAAACCCTTCATGGCCCTACATTTTGCATAACTGTTGCTATGAAACTACTTACCACGAACTGTCAGTGCAGCTCTGTACTTTTCAATTTCATATCACCTGCCTTATAAAAGGTGATATGTGTTCATCCTAGAGAAAAGTTTTCCTCTTAGCAGTTTACAAATCTTATTTACATGGCTCTTATACCATCTTTGTCTGAATGTGCTTCACTGTAAATGAAACAAACATGAAATCAGTGTTATTGTATGTGGACAACTGTCAAATAAATTTCACTTTTCATTTTTAAATGTTTATTACACTTAATGAAACCTAATTTAAAAAACAATATATATATATACATATAGAGAGAAAGAGTGAGATATTGTTTGGGTTTTTGTTTTTTACTAGCAATGTTGGGTCAGATTTACTTATCTAACCACCTACTGTTCATCCTAAATTGCCTGCTGCGGTTGCTCTGTGTAAACTTATAGCGGCCAAGTTAGGTTGAGCAGCAGCATGGATGCTCAGGCAGAGAACAAATAAAATTAAAAATAAAACAATCCACCAAAAACAATATACATCATTTGAAAAACAAGTATCATTAAAAGTAATGAACTTGAAAAAAAGAGAAAAATGAAATAACAGTTGTCCTATAAGAATGGTCTGCTGTAGAGACAACCCCTGCCATTTTATTAAATATGATGGGACTACATTGCCCATGAGGTTTTGCCAGCTCTGTACAACAGAATCATGGGAGATGTGGTCTACTATATATGGAATGTCAGGCATACCCGTTCCCAGTCTTCTACAACAGAATAACAGAAGATGTGATTTACTATTTATGGAATGTCAGGAGTCCCCTTTCCTAGCCTTCTACAACAGAATCGTGGGAGGTGTGGTCTATATAGATTGTCAGGCATCCCCTTTCCCACTCTGCTTTATAGAAATTAAAGGATCACTATAGGGTCAGGAACACAAACATGTATTCCTGACCCTATAGTGTTAAAACCACCATCTAGCCCACCTGGGCACCTCATGCCTCCATAAATATAGCAAATTATTACTGTATTCAAGCCAGAAGCTGTGGATGTTCATGCTGTTTGCCTCAAAAAAAACAAGCAGTCTGCTGACATCATCAGAAGTGGTAGCCTGATCCAATCACAATGCTTCCCCATAGGATTGGCTGAGACTGACAAAGAGGCAGAGCCAGCACAAGTCAAACACAGCCCTGGCCAATCAGCATCTCCTCATAGAGATGAATTGAATCTCTATGAGGAAAGTTCAGTGTCTGCATACAGAGGGAGGTGATACTGAATGTTTGGATGCATTTTAGGCAGCCATGACCCAGGAAGGATCTCTAACAGCCATCTAAGGAGTGGCCAGTGACGTTATCACTAGGCTGTAATGTAAACACTGCATTTTCTCTAAAAAGACAGTGTTTACAGTAAAAAGCCTGAAGGTAATGATTCTACTCACCAGAACAAATTCAATAAGCTGTAGTTGTTCTGGTGACTATAGTGTCTCTTTAAGTTTAAGATACAAACTATAACAAATTAAGCAATATCATAAATTGTGTCACCAATGTGCAATCCAACAGTGGTTGTCAATCAAGTTAGGAATTTAGTATGAGCTGTTATAGATAGCATATCAGGAAAGAGGTTAGGAAGTAAAGTTAGGGTCAAGAAGATTATGGATGATTAGGAAATCAGAAGTTGGTTTTAGGGTTAGAAAGAGGAAGTGGGTTTGGATCATACCACCCGTAGTCCCTTTCAATGCCTATTCGGTCATTTTCAACACGAATATGACTATAATCAGTTTAATTTTGACAAGTGTTCCAATTCGTCATCCAAAGAAGAAGCAAAAATATTCCAATAGCACTAACAGTACATTTAAAGTACAGTACGACTAATTTATTTTCCGTAACAAACCCTCTTTTAAGATGAAAAAAATGTTACAAATATACTTTAGATGAATAATATGTGTAAACTAATATAAGCTTAGTCTATAAAGGACAGTTACCCCTTTACTAAAATATGTGCAGTTTGTAATCCCTCAAACTGTCCAGCTGTTAAAAATAAAACCGTAGCGCAATGTAATTAACTGTGACAGGATATGATAATCCTCTCTTCTAAAAAAAAACAAACCACAAACATATACATATATATATATATATATATATATATACATACATATACAAAATATTCATGTTTATATGCTCATTCTTGATTTTTGGAATAAAAAAAAAAAAAAAAGTAAAATGTATTCTAAAACAGCTAAGCTGTGACTGTAAACAATTTGGAGCATTTTTCCAAAGTCTGCTTTTTTTAGACTAAATTTTACTACTTAATTTTCAATTTACTACAGTTCAGTTCTCAGTGAATAAACTAGTTTATATGATAAATGCTTTTTAGGTGTGTGAACATTGGTGTTAAACTTTATATTGGTAATTGCAAGTAACAACTGTTTCTTACCTTGCGGAGGATGACATATGTCTTCTATAATGCTAACCTAGTTGGCTAGGCATCCTATGAAATGTAGCCCTCCATAGGTGCTACGCCAAATGTTAGCCATTGCTGTCATATGCATTACTCATTCCTTCTACAAGTTCTATTCATTTATAAAATGCTTGTTGGAACAAGTGAAATGGTGCCCTACTTTAGACAACAAGTATTCAGATTACACTGAATGGCAGAGATAATGGATATTCTTGTAGAGTCTGTTGATACAAATATATATTTATATACACAAAGCAAATACCTAAGGTATTATTTATTTTATTTTTGTAACATATTTATCCATTTATTTTCTTCCCATTGTGTCAGGGGGTGGTGGTTTTGTGACAATGTTCATGTATGTGAACAGAGAAACTGCTATTGGACATTGAAGAGGTGTGTTGTCACACAGAGTGACTCTATTGATTTGGCTTTCCTCACATCTTTACAGCAGTATGTAATTATTGTTTTTTTGTCTAAGGAATCGTGTATTTTATAACAACTGACTGGTTATGTAGAAACAAACATTGTATTTGCTGACACAGTCCAGGAAAGCAATGTGCACTAAAGTCTCTAGCCGAAGAGGAACTTTGTAAGGAGTTGTAAAGGAAACGTACTTTGTTTATTGTATTATTTCTTTATTAGACTATATAGGCAATTACTGAAATGAAAGATGTCACCGTGAAGCAAACTGATCAGATAAAAGGAAATTTTAATAAAGTAGCAGTTCACTGGGTTTGTGAGAGCTATATAATTTGGGCTGAGTTTTAATTAAGAGTAGAACAATTCTCTTTTTGTGAAATCCATGGTTGTCAGTACTTTGTTACCCCATTATATACCCTGAGCATCGTGCATCAGCAGTATAGGAAAGTAATAAAGGGAAGTAAATGTATCCGTGATGTGCTAGATAGTTATGTTGGATAAATTACGGGGATCATTCACTGACCAGGGATTCCATAGCCAAGTTGAAGGATTTTTTTTTAATTTTTTTTTTATCTCTGCTATCTTGGCCTTAGCTCTTCAGCTCAACATATAATCACTGAGTGTAAAAACTCCAACAGGGTTCGTCATTAATATGAGGATTGCCAGGAATTAAAAAAGAAATATCCAAGTCAAGCTTGTTTTCAGTTCGGCTATTTTAGAATAAATCTGAAATTCACTTTGAATCCCTGACAATTCTCACCTTAGTGTAGGCTAATTTGAGCATTCTCTAACTCTTGCCAGATACTTGTCAAATATCTCCCATCTATAACTTTAAAGCTCTGCTTAGTTGGCACTATATAAATGCTAAAATTAGATGGTAAATAACCCTGCTAGAGTTGTCCAATTTATTTTTACATATCACAATAAGCAGATATTTTAAATCAATTGATTTGTGCTAAGTATAAATCTGAAAACATACTGGTGTAAAGCTGGACAACCTTGTGAATGTTTGTTTATGTGTGAAACAAAAAGAATAAAAAAAGTTTTACTGTGAGAATTTGGTTTGAGGTAATGTGATATTTATGTTAGAGGGATCATCTGGTTCTGATTTGTAAGATTTTAATAGCATAAAGATTTCACCAGCTTTGCTTTCAAGTCACACACATGTATAGTTTATATCTATGTTAACAAACATAATATCACCTTTGTTTCCAAGATGTAGCTAAAAGATTGTGTGAAAGTTTACTGGAGTTGTAAGGAATGGTTGCTTGTATTTTGTGTTAACTTTTAATTTGAATCAGAATCCAAGGTACCATTGTACCTTCCTTTTTAATTTGAAATAAACAGTGAATTTCTCTCTGACAAAAGTACGCCTTAACAATTACTGAGGACTTTCATCTCATACTTGCAAAGATCATTTTATGTAAACAACAATTTAACATTAATCACATCAGTGTTTGAAAGCCTACATCAATGGACAAAACATGGAGTTTCATAATGTGAACCTGTCATGTAAAAATGATAGTGGAGCACTTTAAACAGCAGGCAGTTAGGTCTGTACATTGTACTAGCATATTCATAAATCAACATATATTTATTGCTATCATTTTTAGTTGACATAGGGTTGTAAACACAGAAGTTGGTGATGGTGAGTATATGTACCACCCCCAATCCAGTCTGCTTACATGTAATGCTTTCTGGGTTACATGTGCAGCCTACTCACATAAAATAATAATAAGTTTTTAGGATCATTCTATCTTGAATATGTTTACTAGTATTTGTTTCTGTATACACTCAATATGGTCACACTGCATGTAAATTAGTCAAGTTATATATATATTTTTTTTTTAATGTTTGGCCAACATTAAGTCGTGTTAATAACCTTGTGAAACGTTTATTTTGTTTTTCATCAGACCAAAGAGCAAAAAAAAAAAGAATTGTTGGAAGTAAGGCAGTGGAATGTCTCAGGAATAGAAGCTATATCAGTAATGGGTGGGCTGCTATCTGTCCTGTGAAGGCGTGTCGCGACTTCTGGTCCTTAATAAGCACCCTAGGAGAGGGTGATGGGAGTTGTAGTTTAGCAACAGCTGAAAAGCCTCAAGCTGCTTATACACAAGTAATATGGTGCTGAGTCAAATACTGGGGCAAGACGCTTGTTTAGCGCGCTCTCTGCTGTAAGCTTACAGAGCCCAGAAAAGATCTTTGTCAAAACTGGTGTGACAAAGGCATAAGAACAATTACAGCAAGGGCTTTTTAATACAGCTTGAATGTCATAACTGAATTTTTTATTCCTGCCAAGAGATGTTTGATATCTTGCTAAGAACACATTTCTAACTATTTATCCATCTCATTGAATAAATGTTAAAGCTGAATAACAATGATACTGTCTCTATTGTATTCCTTTTCATGTTTCATATGCAGTTCACTGATCAGTCAGTTACTAGAATAAAGTTATTATGGTCTGTATAATATATGCTCCCTAGAAAAATAGTCTGGACATCACATTTTCAAAGATGCCAAATATTTGCCTACATTTGAGCAAAAGATGGAATAAATCCTCATTTTGTGTTACAGTTTGTATCATAAATCCTTTATTGGAGAATGTTGATGGCGGGCATCAGGGTTACAGAGATTGTGGACGGTACAGTTCACTTGTGCATTAGCGGAGCCTCTGCAGAGCCAACTGGGTTGTAGGTGCCAGTTTTTTGTCAAGTCACTAGAAAATGATTTGAACCTAACCGGGGGCTGTCCCAAAAAGACTCTTTGTACCCTAATTGTTACTCAGTGGTTGGTTGAAAATCACCAAGCGGTGATTCGGGTAATTGAGTGTCCGATTTCAGTTCCAGACACTCGACGACCAAACACCGCTGAGATTTTCGTGCGTAAGATGGCCGCCGCCACGTGTTTGTGTGCCGAATGGCGGCCACCCAGATACATGGACAAAGTACCAATTAACCTGCGGTTAGAGAAGTGTGAAGCCTAATAAGGTACACACTTCTCTCTGGGGTGGTCTATTGGTTCGGTAGTTTCCATTCGTATGGAATACGGATGGAAACTGCCGAACAATCACACGAATCCTACATACAGTTTAACTATATAGAAGAAAACAACACATGAATTGCAGTTTTACCACAGTCTTTTAGGACAGCCCTAGTACCATCCGCTACAATATTGTCTGTATCTTGTGTATACTGTAGGACATTAGCATTGAGAAAGGGTTCTTGCCAGAAACGTTTGCTGTTTGTACTTTGTCCTCCAATAAACTGTGGTAGCACCTGGGTGTGCATACTTATACCAGATGCGCAGGACTCTTTTTCCTTAAATGTTTGCCAAATTACACTGCTGGGACTACAGTGTGGAGCTTCTGCAGCACATGTTTAACCATTTTTTGTCAGACTGTGATTGTGTAGGCATATTGTTTGCCTCTACCTCATAAATTAGACAGTAGCACGACCAAGAGATGGAGGCAGCTCTTGCCCAAGGGGACTCATCATGTAGTGGTTTTCCACATAGGACTAACTCACTAGTCGAGTGGGGGCAAGACCGTCTTCAACAACAAGGTATTACCAGGCATCGAGGCTCTGCCTTCCAGGAGGCCTCAATGTGACTGTAATGGATCCCAGTACTCTAGCTGACTACATCCATGCAGAATCTCCCAAGTCCCAAGTGCAGTAGTGATGGTAGTTGTGAATATAGCTCCCGCTTCCCCAAACATGAGCCTAGACTTTATGAAGGGGTAAATCAATCTGTTTAATTCAGACTCAATGGCCAGCTTTTACACACAAGCACACAGAAAACACGCCCCTGACAATCCCAACAGCATACCCACAAAATGCCATGTCACCATGACTAGACAAAAAAATGACAAATAGTACAAAACATACCAAAATGCATATTTCTCATAGAGTAACCCCCATAGTTCTTACATCCCTGGATAGCCTGGATCTGAGCGCCCAAGTTGTCCAAATAGCACTCAGATGCCACGAACACAGCTGAATCGCCACCGGGGTGAAGTTTTGACAGACCGCTCACAATGCTCCTGTCCAAAATAGTTCCACAGTTTCAGAGGTATCGGTCGGTCATATTCGGGAGCTCCAAAATGCACGAAAAGGGATACTGTTCCCCTGGTTCATTGGTAGCTTTTGTTCGCGAGGTCCATGCAAACAAACGTACCGAACAGCACTCTCCTGGTGTGCGCAAGAATTGAAGCAGGCATTCAATGTTTTACCGGTGTTTGTGCCGTCGAGTGTCCGCCTCGGAGTTCCAGACACTCGACAACCAAGTCCCTCTCCTGCATTCTTGCGACAAGACGGCCGCCCAGAGAGAGCACTTAATTCTTGCGGTCACTTTGTACTTAATGAGCCAGGGGTGGTCGGTGTTCAGTACTTTTTAATACCGAATGGGAGGGAAGTAGAGACAAAGTTTATACTAGTTTCTCAGACAGGGAATGAGCACAGCATAAGGAGAGCAAAAATAGGAGTTTTGTTACCGTGACATTCTCCTAACGGAGTACTCTGCCGGGGAAGCGACCACCCCAGTAAATAAAGCGGGTCTCGCTTTGCAGGTAGACACGCGTGGCCAGGTGGTACACCGACCAACATCCACTTTACTATCACTTTTTCCTTCTTCCAAGACGTACTTCCCTCTATTTATTTCCCCCCCACCTCAAACTAACCGACTTCACAACAGGAGTCTTAATACTGGGGGCGACTTCAACTTGGCCTTAGCCCCCAAGATGGTCACATCACAGGCACTTAGCGCTACCCCATACAGACACATCAGACAAGTCAAGAAGGCATTACATAGACTACATTTGATCTACTAGTGGAGGACCCTGAGCCCAGAGGGAAGGGACTATAGCCACTATTCGGCAGTACACAAGTCCTACTCTAGGATCGACTACATGTTCCTCACGCAATCATTCCTGACGGCTCTGCAAGACTCCCAGGTGGGTAATATTACTTGGTCCAATCACTCCCCCGTGGGAATCTGCATGAAATCCTCTTTGTTCAAGCCCAGAGAGCGCACCTGGCGCCTGAACAAATCGTTGCTGTTGGAAGCAGACGTGTCCACAACAATAAAAGATTTGCTCACCCAATACTTCATCGATAACGCCGACCTGGAGACAACTCAGACAGTACTCTGGGAGGCGCACAAGAGTGTGATACGGAGAAGATTTATCGCCATAGGCGCGAACAGGAAAAAAGCCAGATCAGAGGAACTCTAAGCGTAATAGCATTATTAGAACAGAGACACGCTAACAATGACGGATGCGGACCTTAAAATCATACTAGAGGCCAGAAAGAGCCTAAAGACTCTACTCTCTCAGTAACAATTACATATACTACAGAAATCCAGATGCTTCTTTTGCGAACACTCACAGATAAATGCGAGAGAGTGCTACCGAAAATGCTGAAGAAAAAGCAAGAACGATTTCAGATCACCAGAAAATGACTGGAACCTCGGAGGCACACGGAGCACCCTACGGAAATGGCAGAAGCTTTTAGCAAATACTATAACACCCTATACAATATATGGAAGGCACGAAACCCCCAAGAAGAGGCTGCGCGCCTGGCAGACATAGATGTGTATCTCTCCGCACATGTCAAGATGAAACTATCAGTGGAGAAGACGGCAGCACTACACAATGAGATTACCATAGAGGAGCTACAGGAGGCTATCAATACCTCCAAGACGGGCAGAGAACCAGGCCCAGACAGCTTCTCCTTGCGATATTATAAGAAATTAGAGGAAGTACTACTACTGCACATGCTGAGGGCATTCAATTCCCTGCTACAGGGGGGGAGGTTGGGAATGGAATTGCTCATGGCACATATTACCAATCTCCTGAAGGAGGGCAAGGACCATGAGTTATGCGCTAAACATCACAGTCCAATTTCACTACTGAACTGCGACTGCAAACTCCTCTCCAAGATCCTTGCAGCCCGTTTAAAACCAACCCTCACGTCCCTGATTGACCTATACCAAAGCGAATTTATACCTGAGCGAGAGGCAAAAGACAACTCCATTTGTCTTCTGAGCATCACACACCTGGCCACACAACACGTGCCGCCCCCTGGTCATCCTCTCCACTGACGCGGAAAAAGCGTTTGACCGGGTGGACTGGCAGTTCATGCTCCTTATGTTGCAGAAAATGGGATTCAGGGAGTTAACGGGGGGCTCTCAACACTGGTGCGGATTTCAAATGGCACACAACAGGGCTGTCTGCTTTCACCCATCCTGTTCGTGCTGACACTGGAGCCCATAGAGCCTGTTAGCCGCCCGTAGAGCCATTGCACAACACTGGCTAAAAACCCAGCCATCTTCCCGGTCAATGGTGATTGGAAAATAAAGGACAACTGAAACAAAGGACATCTGCCTCATGGGCGACCTTACTGCTAGGGTACAGGGTACGCAGAGGAGGTTTGAAAGAACTTGGGGGCTCTGTAGAGAGAGACAATTTGCAGACCGAGCAGAGGGCAGGGGCGCGGTTGGTGCGGGCCTCCTCGCCGTCCTGCCCCGGCTCTCCCTTCCCATCCTCCTCCCCCCTGGCCCTCTTCCCCTGCCTGCCCGCCCGGAGCCAAAGCATCGCCCCTCCCCCCTCTCTCCCTCTCATGCTCTATTACTATCTCTATCTTCCTTCTGATATATCCATCTCTCTCACTCTCTTTGGCCCCTGTCTCCTCAGGGGGCCCTCTATATCACACACAGATAGCACCCATAAGCGTAGATCACATTAGGAAGCTAACAGTAGCCTTGTCACCCTGCTATAAAGGGCATAGTAGTAGAGGGGGGGTGATGGGGTAGAGGCAAAAACTGACAGGACATAGACAATAGCAAGAGGGACCAATAAAGGGGACTCATACTAACACTGTTGGAAGCATACAGCGCGATCCCCATTAGCGAGAGGGAGCCACTGACCGGCCCCACCACCTGCAACCTCGATCATAACTACTCTTTAAAACCCATAGCACATACTTGAGACGGTCTTAATCCCATAGCCCGTCCGAAGGGACGAACAGGCTAGGCTACTGGGCATGTAGTTATAACCCACAAGGTCACTAGCCCTACACCAGCTCATGTTGACAGTCTCAAAAAACCTCGGCTTGATCATAAGACTAATGCAGAACCCCTACTACGCAGCACTACTATCTGAAAGTTTACGTAATATCAAAACTGTGCCTCTGTTACATGCTATGTATATGCCTTTCCTCTTGTTGTTCCTATTTTATGCGTATGTTGTTGTGGCGACGCGACACGACCTCCTGTACCATCTTGTGCACAGACAAAGAATAAAAAAAAAAAAACCTGACAAATCAGAAGCTCTCAACATCACACTCCAAGCGCGAGACCTGAACCACCTCACAGGCAACTTCATGTTTCAATGGTGCAACAACCATATTAAATACCTAGGATTGTGGATCCCCAGAGATCTTAAGCAGCTATACAACTTTAACTTCCAACCGCTGCTATCCCGCCTTTCGGGTGATCTGAAAAACTGATTGGCTCCGCACGTCTGATGGACAGGGCGCATAAATGCTGTCAAAATGAATGTACTACCGAGGCTGCTTTATTTATTGCAGACAATTCCGATCGCTCTCCAGCCAGCGATCTACAAATCCCTGAACTCAACATTAATCTCATTCATCTGGAGGTGACACAGACCTCAACTTCGAATGACACAACTGATGAAACCATAGCGAGAGGGTGGCCTGGGACTGCCGTCGTTCCTGAACTACTATCGAGTGTCCCATCTTGCAAGGATAGTGGAATGGCACAACACTGGAACCCACGCTCGCCCCCTCCGGTCTGTGGCCACCACCCCCGGGTGCACAGACCATCGTGACTAGTCTACGTTTTGGGAAGACTTTCCTACTTCTTCTTCCCTCTCACTTGGTCTCCTTTACTTGGCAAACCTCGCTTGGTCAAAAAGGGGCAAGAACATGCTAGACCAGCTAAGGGGTATTTGGTTTGTGATATTGTTAAAGAGAGGGCAGGGGAAGAAGCTATGCTGAAAAATGAAAAAGTTAGCAAAGATTTCTGGTTTCCAAACGTATAAGTCTCTGTCCTTCTGTCTTGTTACTTTACGGCGCTCACATGGTCGACATTAGAATGGGAGATGACAAATAGGAGCATCCCAGCGGTGGTGTGGATGCCTGAAGCTGCGTCCAGACGTCTGATCAGCGAACAGCTGTTCATAGGTGCAACTCTAAAAGTGTGGAATCAAACCCGGATCAAATATACTCTCACAACGATCAATGGACCCAGACTCCGAATGTTCCCAGTCTCAAACAATCCGGACTTCCCAGCGGGACAAGGCAGGCAAACACTGGACTTCCTGGGTAAGGACACGTACATCCGTCTCGCAAATTTTTGACAAAGAGACTGTTGTGGAAATAAGGTCTGCACATATTTCCTAGTTAGTGAAAATGTCTATTTACTCATTCCACGATATACAATATAAGCTATGCACACATGATTTAATTAAGATGGCTGCTAGAAGCTTCTAACCCCTCCTCCCCCTCCCCTTAACACCAACTAACTACCTCGTGCAGCAAGTTGGCGCTGGAATCCAGGGGGAGAACTCCATGACGACAGTAATGACATAAGAAGGCACACCCTGTAGGACGTGCTTTGAATAAAACACTTAACACTTAGCCAATTATTGATGTATTATTCCATGTTATCTCTGACAATGCTTATGATGTAATTTTGCTTTAAAAGGGACCTGCCGTCCCCTCTGAATAAACATTCCTCAAGTTATTCAACAACCTGGAACTTGTGTCTGGTGTGAATTACTTCAGGGAGCGTGCACGCATTGTTTCATTGATTTGGCCAGGGGCAGATACACAAAGAAATAATCAATACCTTGATTGATTTTTCCATTTCAGAGACAAACTACTTCCATTGCCAACACTACAAGGAGACAGGTCCCACATAACCCTGGAAACCTTCGCATACCACCAGATACAACACTTCCACTCTGCTAATGTCTCCTGGCTGCAACTGCGAAGATCACTGTACCGTTTCGAGAACATCTGCTCGAAGAAAACTGCCATACACCGCGGGATCTCCACCCTGTACCTCTTGCTCACATCAAAGGACGAAATTCACCTCTCCTCTCCCCCCCCCCCCGAAATTCCAGACCACATGGGAGGAATCTCTACGGACGACATTTTCATCACAGGAGTGGATCCAGATGTTCACATACACTCACCTCGGCTCTCGCTGCGCAAAATACCAAGAGATAAATTATAAGATACTTACTCACTGATACGACACACCCCAGAAAATCCATAAATACAACCCGGAAATGCCGGACTCCTGTTGGAGATGAGGAGTCACAGGGGGTTCACTGCTACACATTTTCTGGGAATGTCTGCACCTAGCCCCATACTGGAGAAAGATTTTTGACATTGTGACACAAATAGTAGACGAGGGAGTGAACTTCACCCCACAGAGATGTTGCTGAGAAAATCACACCTATCAGTCTCAAGGTACAAAAAAAATTGCTTGCGAGGCACGTACTTACAGCAGGCTATATTTTTCTTTTTTATATGGTTATATACAGAACACTAGATTTTAGTGATTATATGACCACACACTGATTTTCAGTGTTTATAAATAGGTTTACATATTTATATATTTTCTTTTTCATATTTATCTTTTCATATATTAGAGCTTAAAGCGGCACGGACACACTGAACTTCTCATATTATTATTATTTATAAAGCGACAACAAGTCCTGTAGCGCTGTACAATGGGTGGACTAATAGACACATATTTGTAACCAGACAAGTTTGATGCAACACACAGTAACAAAGAAATTGAGGGCCCTGCTCAATGAGCTTACATGCTAGAGGGAGTGGGGTATAGTGACAGAAAAGGTAAGAGTAGGGTAGAAAAGTAGGTTGCTAGGATAGTATTCATTGAGAGCTTAGTGTTTTGTTTTGATGACAGTTTCAGGAGAGGAATCAGGGTGCGGGGAGGGGAAGCTGTTCACAGTTTTATATGCTTTACTAAAGAAGTAAGTTTTCAAAGATTTTTTTCAAGTAGTGGAGATTGGGTGAGAGTCTAATAGAGAGGGGAAGGGGGTTCCATAGGAACGGTGCAGCCCTAAAGTCTTTAAGGTGAGCATCAGAGTTAGGAGTACGAACATAGGTTAGACGTAGGTCTCCGGCAGAGCGAAGGGGCCTAGACGGGACATATTTGTGTATTAGTGAGGATAAGTAGGTGGGAGCAGCATTGTGTAGAAATTTGTAAGCAAATGTCAGGATCTTAAATTGAGCCTTATATCTTACGGAAAGACAATAGAGGGACTGACAAAGATGGGAGGCATACGAGGTGTGGGCGGACAGGAAGATGAACCTCGCTGCTACATTCATTATAGAGCAGGCTTCCTCAAAATCCGGCCCTCCAGAAGTTGCTGAACTACAATTCCTATGATTCTCAGCCTATTTCCTTCATAGAATCATGGGAGTTGTAGTTCAGCAACATCTGCAAAGAGAACACCTAGGCAGTGAGATTTATTGGTAGTGCGGATGGTTGTGTCCCTCCAAATCAATGGCACTGACAAGGGAGTAGCAAAGAAAACTTGAGGGAGGGAAGACCAGAAGTTCTGTTTTGGACAGGTTCAGCTTAAGGAAATGAGCAGCCATCCAGTTGGAAATAGCAGAGAGGCAGTTATAGACATGAGTCAAGAGGGGTGGTAAGAAATCAGAGAAGGACAGATAAATTTGCGTATCATCTGCATAGAAATGATACTGGAAGCCGAAGGAGCTGATGAGTTTACCAAGGGAGGAAGTGTAGATTGAGAACAATAGGGGACCAAGGACATACCCTTGAGGAACTCCAACTGAGAGGGATTGGAGAGAAAAGGAAGAGCCAGAGGAAGAAATACTGAATGAGTGCTGGGAGAGGTAGGAAGGGCACCAGGAGAGAGCAGTGTGGCGGCTACCCCGAGAGTATGAGGGGTTTCCGTGCCTAAGCCGCTCCTTTTTCCCCTGTCCAGAGTAATGCTTTCCAATTTCCCAGGATAGTATAGCTCTTACAAGAGCGGAGTGATTATAGCATGTATAGCTGGTCCCTACAATCATGAGATGAGACTCTATGATGAGGGTAAGCAAGGACTGAATTTTAATAGTGCCACACTGACCTTTTATGACAATCCTCATGCAATGGGTAAGCCCACATGGACCTTGTTGGGGACTCCAACACAAAGACACAGACCAATAAAAACAGTGATTAAATGCATGACATTCCTTTAACAAACATACAATCCCTTCCCTCTGCATGGGAGATAATGGAGTCAGATACTGTATTAACTCAATTATATCCAGGCAGAAAAAACAAATTTTTATAAAATTCCAAAAGTACCCCAAAATACATAAAATTCCCACAATTGTTACATGCCCTGATAGCCTTAATCTGGGTGACCAACATATCCAGTCTACTTCGGGGATTCGAAGTAACAATAAAAATACCGAACGTAGAGAGTTCGTATGGCCCTTAGTCTATGTCTCTCCTTTGGGAGTTTGTTCTTACCGAACGCCGTTTTACTCCCATTCGAATGGCCGAACATCCATGGAAAGAAAGTAGTGAGCGGTGTTCGTCCCGCCGAGTGTCCGATTTGAGTTCCATGCACTCGACAACCAAACACCGCTGGATGCGTTCGACTAAACAAGATGGCCGCTGCCACCTGTTCGAATGCCGCTTCGAGAGTTCGAAGTGCCGCTTCAAACCACTTCGGGAGCTCGAAGGGTTACTGTCCAAGTCCAAAAAGGCGCAAACAGTGTCTGTAAGCAAGGCAGTACAAAAATAAACAGTAAAAGCCATTTCCTATGTCAGAGAAAGTACTCCTTCTCCTAGACACAGGAAAAGGAGCCGACTTAAGCTTCTCCTTTGGTAAAAGAAAGACAAGAGTAGAAAAAAAATACATATAAAAGCAGTCCCTACTTTGTCTTATGTTTTAAAGAAAACTAGATCAGAAATAAAGAAAACAACAACAAATTCTGAGAGAGGAAGAGGGAACAATAGGAGAAAAGTAAGTTTGGGGAGACAGTGCTGCTTTAATAAACAAGGAGTCTAGATCTTGCAACGTTGGGCGTATTCCCCAACAGTTTATGGATGCTTAAAAGGCAGCTTATTATTGGAAAAGGTTGGGAACCACTTGTGTTTCGTAAGAACACTAAACAATTTTGTGGCACACCAATAAATATGCAACCTTTTTTTTAAAATTTAAAAAGTGTAAGGTGAGAGTGGAAATGGACTGTTAAACCAAACTTATTTCAAAGGATGTCACACTGTGACCTAAAAGGGCTGGTGTTATATTATTGCTAATGGCCTGTAAGTTAAAAACTAGCCAATGGTGTCACTTTTTCATCAGTAATTTAATAAACAGTTATATAATCACATGCCATTTTCTAGTGTCCACAAAGTTCTCAGGCAGCTTGGCGCTCTTAGGTTTATTATTAAAGGAACACTATAGTCACCTACATTACTTTAGCTAAATAAAGCTGTTTTAGTGTATAGATAATTCCCTTGCAATTTCACTGTCATTTAGGAGTTAAATCACTTTGTTTCTGTTTATGCAGCCCTAGCCACACCTCCCCTGGCTATGATTGACAGAGCCTGCATGAAAAAAAAACTGGTTTCACTTTCAAACAGATGTAATTTACCTTAAATAATTGTATCTCAATCTCTAAATTGAACTTTAATCACATACAGGAGGCTCTTGCAGGGTCTAGCAAGTTATTAACATAGCAGGGGATAAGAAAATCGTAATTAACCCCTTAAGGACACATGACAGAAATATTCTGTCATGATTCCCTTTTATTCCAGAAGTTGTGTCCTTAAGGAGTTAAACAGAACTTGCAATAAAGAAAGCTTAAATAGGGCTCTCTTTACAGGAAGTGTTTATAGAAGGCTGTGCTAGTCACATGCAGGGAGGTGTGACTAGGGTTCATAAACAAAGGGATTTAACTCCTAAATGGCAGAGGATTGAGCAGTGAGGCTGCAGGGGCATGTTCTATACACCAAAACTGCTTCATTAAGCTAAAGTTGTTCAGGTGACTATAGTGTCCCTTTAATAGTTATAAAATGGTAACACGTCCCCCAGGGATAAGGGCTATGTCTTGTCTAAGATTTTATTTTTATTGTAAAAACAAAATAACTGACAAAAGAATTACAAACACCAAGCCTAGCAAACTGAGCTGATAAAAATATATTGTTTTTCCCTTCAGTTTGGTTAATTCAGATATTCCTTGTCCATCTCTCACAATATTACCAATTAATCCTGGAATAAACCCAATACAGTCCTATCAGATTAATCAGACTTTATATCGCGCCAATGCTTCCCACAGGGAATTACAAGTAAACCATGGGGTCATTTATCTGGGCAGAGAGTCCGCATAACCCATAGAAACATAGAATGTGACGGCAGATAAGAACCATTCGGCCCATCTAGTCTGCCCAATTTTCTAAATACTTTTATTAGTCCCTAGTCTTATCTTATAGTTAGGATAGCCTTATGCCTATCCCACGCATGCTTAAACTCCTTTACTGTGTTAACCTCTACCACTTCAGCTGGAAGGCTATTCCATGCATCCACTACCCTCTCAGTAAAGTAATACTTCCTGATATTATTTTTAAACCTTTGTCCCTCTAATTTAAGACTATGTCCTCTTGTTGTGGTAGTTTTTCTTCTTTTAAATATAGTCTCCTCCTTTACTGTGTTGATTCCCTTTATATATTTAAAAGTTTCTATCATATCCCCCTGTCTGGTCATGTCAGCTATGTCTACTATCCTGGAGCCCTGGCTTTAGTCCTCCATCTAAACATGGCCGCCACTCTCTCCGCCTTCTCCTTCCTGGCTGAACGGTTCGTGAGTCACCAGTCGACTCTCGCCGCTGATTGGTTGGCGCTTCACTGACGTCACGTCGTGCGCCAAACCCCCAGACCGCTGCCAGCCCAGCATCGAGCTCGCCTGGCCGCGAAAGAATGTCGATCCAGCCAATGAGAACGCGCGGCTGGAGCAGCGGGGCGTGTCCTGGCGGGGTGGGAGACGGAGAGCCTCCCGCAGTGCAATGTCTTGGTGTGAGAGCAGCAGCGGCGGCGAGGCAAGTAAAATGGCGGCTCTGGGAGGGAGAGTGCTGAGTCATTCCATGGCATGCGCTGCCCTGAATTACCGGGTTACTCTGTGTAACGCCGAGCGGGGAGCCGCGCTGCTGCCATTGTATGCCGTGTTTTATTATGTTTTAATGAGAGCGGAGAGGGATGGCAGCGCCTGCTAGTCACACAGAGCCTGCATGCGTGTTTAATATTCATTACAGGGCCGGGGGTTATTATTTATATCAATCAATTAATCTGTGTAGGATTGCCTTCATTACTGCTAACACCTAGCTCTGCACCGTTATATGGTCAGAAAGCCTTTTTGGCTGGCTGAGCGTCATGTGTATTGCAGCCCAGGACATCTGATCTACAAAATACTGCCCAGCCCCAACCTGTGAGGGTATCACATGATTTATGTGTAAATGGCATGATTTGGAACCCTCCCCCACCCCCTCCCCCCCAGCACGTGTCAGCAAGTCCTCTAGTATTTGTGCACAAGAGCTCACACTCTCTTTTGTTTTATTTTTGCCGGGAAATGCTGGGTTAGCTAAGCAAATGTTTCTGAAATGGTAAAACTCAACATCTTGGTGTTTTTTTGTTTTTTTTTGTATCTTCTCTGCACTTCCAGAGTTAATGCAAATCAGTGCTATGCAGCAGAAACTGCACTTAATTTCTTTTAGAATGCTTGTGGGAAGAGTTTACTTGTATGGCTTCCACAGTCTATGGAAGAATTAGGTTAATATGTAAACGGATTTAATGTAAGTTACCTTGGCGTGTACTTTTCGTGCAGGTTGGTGGCACACCTAAAGCCCATGCTGCTGTTCGAGAAACTCGTGAAGAGGTTTCCCTTAATGATTAAGACTTAATTCGTTGACTTCCTCCTGCAGCATTGGCTTAGGCGGGCACTTTTCGTATGCTGGCCAGCAGCATAAAGAGATGGATTTTATCCAGCATGTAGTTATTTTATGTACCGAATAATTGTTACTTTGCTTTTCTTTTTTAACTTTTATAGAAATGTACCAGTTTTCGTGATAACATAATAATCTACTTTCTTTGAATAGCAGCTTCAGACATGAATAGGATACGGATCCATGTTTTGCCCACAAGCAGGGGTCGATTGACCCCTGTCTCCAGAACTCAGGAACCTTTGTCTTGCTCATTTGCACACCGACCATGCACTCAGGCCAGGTTGGAGGGCTATGAATTCTGCATCAAACACATTCTTGAAGACAAACAAGCCCCTTTCAAACAGTGTAGCTATGTTTCCACCAAGAATGGTCGTCGCTGTTCCAATGCTGCTCCTAAGCCTGAGAAAAAGGATGGGTGAGTGAGTCATCTGGGGTTTTTTTTGTGTCCACTGAAATAAACCTGATGCATTGCATGTGAATTTCTGAATACATGTAATTTCAGTATTGTATACCAGACAATGCAAACTTTTTTTTTAAAGAACTTTATATTTGTTCTGTATTTTATAATGTTTGAACAACTTGGTTCTTCCAAGGCCATGAACAAAAAAAAACATTTAAAAAGCAAGGGATCTTCCCAGGATTATTTTTAAATCTTGTGTTTTTACTTATTCCGATTATTTAACAATTACATGTTTGTGAGGTCTGTAAAAATAAAACTAAATGTAGACATCTACTCTCCTGTATTTAGCACCTGCTTCTTGGCTCTTTTAATCACTAATATTATCGCTATTGATATAGCGTGAACAGATTCAATAGCGCTTTACAATATTATAAGAGGGGGGAAATTAACTATAAATAGGACAATTACAGGAATGATAGATTGAAGAGGACCCTGCTCAAAAGAGCTTAGTCTGTCATTATTAGTTATGCCCTTATAAATAGGAAAGGACTACACAAAGAAAAAAAAAAATGTGCCAAGACTAAGCTCTTTAATGTATTATATATCACACATTTAAAAATAAACTGTCATAACCAGATAAGTGACAGTACCTTGTTCTTTTACCCCAGTTAACCTATTGCATGCATGTTCTGCATTTTCTCTAATAGAGATGTATGCACATGGCATTGCAAGTTAACTAATTCACATAGGTTATAGGAGTAGCTGATGTGTAGAGTCCCACAAGGGGAAACCAACATCAAGAGAGCTCCACTGTATAAGAAATTAGGAAAGGAGGCCCTACCTTTAATCAATCTAAGGATAAAAAGGCTCCTGACGGCGTTTTGAACACGCTGAAACGCGCGTCAAGCTTTTTCTTTAATCTCTGCACTTGGTAGCACATTTTTGTTACCACTATGGTTATTGATTTTTAGGTCTTTATTTATAACTTTAGTAGGGAGAGTTGGTTCAGGTAGACACTAGTGGTTAGACCACAGTGTCGAGGTAACTTTTAGGGTGAATTGAGAGATTTATTTTTTTGTGTGAGGCTTTTCATCTGCGTTTAGACCTGATTACCCGGTCCCTTGTTGTCTGGGGACCCTGTGCCTCTTCTCTCTCCCTAACCTCGTTTACACTACCTTCCTGTCAGTCGGGCACTAGGGGAACTGGAACTTAGATGCTAGCTATTACTCCAGACAATTCATCCCCTGGGAACCGTTTAGTAGATCTCCCTTTTTTTCAAGTTATACTTTTTTGTTTGCATATCCCTTTTTATCTTTAGATTGATTAAAGGTAGAGCCTCCCTTCCTCATTTCTTATACAGTGAAGCTCTCCTGATGTTGGTTTCCCCTTGTGGGACTTTACACATCACCTACTCCTATTACCTACATATTTTGGAGAGTTACTCCCTCATTGGAGCTCCCTATTAGGTGGTTACAGTGGTGCAGCTCATTAGCCCTTGACTTGTATCCGGACTCCTGACCTGCACTCTGTTTACTTTATTTCTCCATTTTGTAACTAATTCACATGCTTTGCATTGCAAATCATTTTAAAGTAAAATACATTTGATAAAGAACTTAAAATGAATTTAGCTCTGCCAATTGCAAAATTTTACTTGCCTGTTAGATTGTGGAAAAAATGAGGAAGTGTCGGTTCTTCTCTAAAAGAAAATGGAGCATCACATTAAGTAAAATTAATTTAATACGATTTATGATTTTATAAATGAACTCCGACGTCTTAGCAACTGTAGCTTTCAACTAGTGATCTGGTGCCCCGTCCCCTGCTGGAGGAGTCAGAGCCCCGACCCGGTGCCGAGTGAGGGGGGACCATAAGAAACTGTATTGTAAGAAATACAAATGTGTTTTCCTTGCACTATAGAATATCTTTAAACGCGGAGTAAAATGTTCTCACAGTGCTGATATGTCCTACAACCTCTGTACACGTCCAGCAACAGAAAAAAAATCATATGTAGTAATGTCATATGAATGATATGGGTGGGAGTAAGAGCGGGAGAGGAGTGGTGCTTAAAGGAACAGTATAGGGTCAGAGATACAAATGTGTGTTACATGAACTATTTAGAACCCCCATGCGGGTCAGTGGGTGCTGCCACCGTCCCCTTTGATGAAATCATCCGTATTGACCATCTAAGCCAATCTTTATTGGCTGAGATCATTCTGATCTCAGTCAGGGAAGTGGGGGCGGAACCAAAAGTCAAGCTGACGAGTTGGCATCTTCACATAGATATGCATTGAATCAATGCATCTCAGGAATTATCGTTCTCTCCATGCGGAGGATGAAAATGCCTGCAGGGGCAGACTATATACACCAGAACCAATACATTAAGCTGGAGTTGTTCTGGTGACTATAGTGTCCCTTTTAGGTAAAACTCCAAACATCTAAAGCACTTTAACTTGCATAAGTGCTTTATTTGTGTAGTGTATCCTCGTCCATTTTTTAATTTTACAAAGTGCAGTTTTCAATAGAAATTAGCACATTTTTAAACTTTCCTTGTTAGTCACTTGGTTGTCAATCTGACAACAGGTCCTGTTACTTCCTGCTATGGTTAGCTCAGTGGAGCTACACAGAACACCCGCCTTGCATCCAATGGGAAGTCTTTGCATTGAGAAGTCCATGATTGGATATCCAGAGAAAGTCTGAGTGGGGTTAGAATGGGGACGGGCTTGCAAAGACTTCAAACAAGAAATCTGCCACTTTTGCAAGTTATTTGATTATACCCCAATGAAAACAAATTCAGAGTTAAATGAATGCATGTTTTCGTGTAGGGTATATATACACTACACTGCACAACAGTTGAAGGGGTAAAAATTAATGGTGAACTTGGCACGATTAAATACCAAACAATTGCACCACCTAGATTTTACATACTTGACAAAGTAGATGGAGGGGAAAAGATGGCTTACAGTTTTGCTCTTTTCACTAGGATATCCTACTGTGCAGAGCATGCACGCAGGAACGCATTGGCCATTCAGGCTCAAATGAAAAAGTCCAATCCTGGACCAACAAGCGAGTCTCTCTTATACCAATTAAGTGCTTATTCCCGTAGTGAACTTGGTACACAGGCACAGGACAACAGCAGAAGTGAGGCCAGCAGGATTCTTGGTATGTAATGCTTCGATATTTCACCAAATTAAATCTTTGTACTGCAATGTGATTTAGTTTTAAACTATTATTCTAACTCCATTGGAACCAGGACATGTTAAGGTGGTTACAGTTGAAAGGGATTTGCCAAACTACATATACATTTAGTGATTAATAATACAATTATTACATTTTGTTAGATGAAGACAGCCTTAGTGACAGTGAACAGGACACTGTAACAGTGGACCAGACGTGGAGGGGGGATCTAGACAGTGAAGCTGACAGTCTGGACAGTGATCAGGAAGACCCTCTGAAGTAAGTACTTTGTGCATCTTTACTGTTGTGTGTCAAACTGTTCTTAATAATAAAGGTTTTAAAGCAAACACCTCAGAACATTATTAATATTATAGAATGATGATTTGAAGGTTTATTTTGAGTTCGTTTTGCCTCACCATTAAATTTTCTCTTAGGCATGCTGGGGTATATACAGCTGAAGAAGTGACTCTTATAATGCGTGAGAAGTTAATTCGTCTTCAGTCTTTGTATATCGACCAATTCAAGCGGTTGCAGCATTTACTTAAAGAAAAAAAACGGAATTACTTGCACAGTTTGAAAGCTGAAAATGAAACTATTGGTAAGTATAAATTCTAAACCAAAAATTTTGCTTTTACCATTAAAGGGGTATTCTAATAAACATATCCAACTCAATTGAGTGGTTATACTGCCAAGAGTATGTTGGGGCACTGTTTTCTGGTGGTTTTCTTTTTGTTTGTTCTCATTTCAAACATTTTTTATAGTGACTTAATAAAAAAAACAAGCTCAACCCAGAGACTGCCCTGTGTACAACCACCAAATCATTGAAAATACCTATATAAACTGCTGATATTGTATTTTTGGTACTGTTGTGTTCTTGGTGCCATTCCCTGGTTCTTGATCAGTTTTAAGCAGTTTAACAAATTAACAAAAGTTGCAGGTTTGCAAAGCCACCACAGACATGACAACATGCAACTTCCACATTGGCAATCAGGGCCGCCACCAGAAATTTTGGGGCCCCTGACTCAGCTCAGCGTCTAGGGCCCGCCTCCAAATACCGCCCACAGGAATACACAAACATACACTGATCCAAAAGGACACAGATGCATACATACTGAGACATACACACAGGCATACATACTAACATACATACAGACACACATACATGAGGACATAAAGACACATACATACAGAAACTGACATACATTAATAATGGCATACAGACATACGTTCATAATGATATGCAGACATATATACATACATAGACATATATCCATAGGCATGCAGACAGACATACAGGGACATACACCCTCCTGTCTCTTACTATTTCTTTGCAGGAGGGTGGCTGGGGCCTCTTCACTGGCCCGCGCGGAGTGAGCTGGAAGGAAGAGACCACTTTTTTTATTTTATTTTATTTTTTTAGGGGCCCGGTCGCGCTATACCACGGCCACAGCGCTGACCGAGCCCCTGAAGATATGTGGCCCTAAGTGTGTGGGCCACCCGATGGGCCCCATCAGCATGCGGGCCCCGGTGCAAGTGCACCGGCGGCAGTTCCGCCTCTACACGTGGGGCCCCCTAGGCCTGTGACAACCATTATGGTTGTCACCCCCTGATGGCCCTGTTGGCAATATCTGAGCAGGGGGAAGGGATGCCTGTGCCTCCATCACAATTTTGGCTAGTCCGGTCAAACAGTTTCCCTATTAACAGAGGGACAGTGTGCCCGCAATATAATGGCACAATAACTCCTTCAGTTTTGCATGATTATGGTACCTAGCCAACCTCATTATTTTCTGTGTACATTTATCATTTCCATAATAAATGCACAACTATGATAACTTGTAGTTTTTATATTTAGAAATATAAATTGTTTTTTTATACTAATTTAATCACTCATGCTTGGTATTCTTTCAGATGTGCAAAGAGTTTTTCATTTTTAAAACACACCAAAAAAAACTGTATATGGAAGAGATTACAGGATCCTCCATAAATAATTATATAAATATTTGATGTGGTTCCTGTTCCCATCATATGTTCTTGCAAAAGCTCAATTTTAGAGACCATTTGTGATTATTTAATAAGCAATTTAAGAGGCCACTTAAAGTTGTTGTTGAACAGTAAGCACACAATTGAACAAGATTCTTACGTTAACATGTTCTGCTGGTTTCAGCTACCTGGTGTGTTCCTTATTTTAGGGAGCAACCTGCTTACTGGCCCAGAGGGTCTTTCTTCTAAAGAACGTGAGACGCTTAGAAAGTTGAAAGCATTACGACGCTACAGAAGACGTTTTGGCGTTGAGGCGCTACTTCATCGACAGCTGAAAGAGCGACGCTTGTTGGCTACTGACGGAGCATCCCAGCAGGTAGCTTTTATGAATTTAAGACTCTGTGTATACTCGGACTCCTGGTTCCAAGAACTTGTCTCTACACCTCAGGTGGGATTGGAGATCTCCGCTGACCTTCATGTTTCTCATGAAATCTATACAAAAAATATGGCAGGGCAACTGGATAGTGGCTGTACCAATAGTGCTACAGTACATCTGTGTCCTCTGCGTTGAAAAAGGGTGTCATCTGAAACATTTGATGTGCACAAACATGGTCCTTCAATATTCTGTAGCACTTTGGTAAACCCACTATCCAGTTGTGCTACCCTAATTTTTTCTACTTCTGTATATATTATCCCTATTTTTGAGCTACAGTGGGAGGGGTGTATGCAGCACAGGAGTACATTTTGATAAGCATTTTGGGGGGACTGCAGTAACCCTTACCCTTTATTTGTTCCTCAAGAAAATGTGCTGTGTTCTATGAGCAGAGACCAATTTGAGACCTCTTGTTCTCCTCACACTCTCTGGATGGGGCTGAGGGGCAACCTTAAACTGTTTCTGCTTCCAAATAGTGCAGATATTTTGTTTTCCTATTTGACACCAGGCACAGTGCTGCAGACATGAGGAAACTGAAATTTCATTATTTTGCTAATGTGTGTCTGTTTTAATGTTGCTAGCCTTGTTTGTCTAATTCAGGTAGTGGGCTTTGATATGTTTCTAAATTATAGGAAATTTGTCATGCCTTTCTTTTATGCATGTATATAAATGTCTGCCATTTAAAAATGAGCTTTAAAGTATAAAATATTCTGTTAAACGGTATTTAATGTAACATATTTTTGATTTCTTTACTAGAGCATTGTAGGATTAACCCGTAGTTCTTTTATACAGGCTCACACAACGCGCTCCAGTCAACGATGTCTGGCCTTTGTTGATGAAATACGCTGCTCTAATCCTAGCCTCCCCACGACAAGACATTGCTTGTCACGTATCCTTTTGATTTTGTGATTTTACTAGAAAAGTGATTGATTGTGCTGGACATTACAGACAAAATAAATATGAAAAATGTTTAAACAAGCCATTTTTTTCGAATGCAAAGGAAAATTGTGGTTGGAAATTGGCCCTGAATCAAGGCTGGTGGCTTGCTGTAGCTGCGGGTTTCAAGCAGGAGCCGAAAGAATCTCTTCCCATGGTCTGTTGGCTGTGCCAGTATTCTTCAGGGCCCAGCCAATTCAGTTGGAAGGAACAGTATTTGTTACTTTAATAATATATAATTGCTGTGCAGCTATGGTTTATGTTTTACATGATTTGGGAGAGAGAGAAAGTGACATTGCTTTAGTGAGTGTACATATATTCTCCTTTTCCAATAGTACTGCTAATCGGAGATGAAAAGTAACCCTAACTGAGCTCATATACTAACTTTCAGCAATTAAAAAAAAAAAAAATAATCTTGTGGTGTCTATGTCTCAAATAATTGAGTAGTCCAGTTTTAATTTTGTACTTTACTCAATATCCATAGAATATAATGTTTCTTTTGTTAAATATAAATGCCCACAGAAAATATAGATTGCAAAAAATAGCATGGTAAACGCAATATGAGCCAGTGTTCTAAAATAGTTAAAATTTCTGAATGTGTCCAGTAAATTATCAAACCAAAACAGTCTAGTTGTTAAAATTTATATTATTTCATGCATCCCCCTATGTATTATGTGGTCCCTGTTGAGACAGCAACTTGAAATTATTAGTTTCTGATCTACCCAATCATTAACGTTTTCAGGCAGTTTTATATAGCAAAGAAAATATAAGGAAATTTTTAAAGTCAGTGGAGTTTTTCCAGTGATATTGCAGACGACCTTCCGTGAGTATGCTTGATATATAATTAGTTTATATGAAAATTAAATGTACATGTTTTTAACTGAAAAATAAGAATGCAAAAATCTTACATTGTTAACATTTTGCTTATTTTTTTCCTCTCATCTGATGGAATCTACTACGGTTAAACTTTTTCATAAAACAACAATGTTCACTTTAATCTAGACAATGTTTGGGGTTTTTGTTTTCTTCTTACACCACCACGCTGTTTTCCCTAACATCCTCATCCAGATATCTGCCAAGACAGCAATCAGGTTCTGTTCAAACTGTGTGCAGGTTCTGAAGAAGTCCCTTGTAACAAACCACAACCAGTCAGCCTTTCTGAAGAGCCAAGATGTCCTCTTCATTATAGGTTGCCTTCTCCATTGTACAAGTCTGAACCAGTTCTGACTGTTCCGGTGCAAATGGATGTGGCTCCTGTGGAGCTGTACATGAGCGCTGCTGAGTTGCAGCCCACTGAAAATTTACCACTGGAATTCAGTGATGTGAGTCTTGAATCTTATGATTTACAAGGTCAATTGGTGCAATGATTCCTATGTCGTCGTCTCTCTCCTCAACCCCCCCCCCATATCTCATTCTAATTTCCTGTGATAGGACCTTGATGTTGTTGGGGATGGTATGCAATGCCCACCCTCTCCGCTTCTTTTTGACCCCTCTGCTGACCTTGCTGTGAAGGATATTTCAAGGGCACCACTTGACATACTTGCTGAAGAATCTCAAAGGACCCCTGGAAACCAGTCTCTCCTGACCGCACAGTCTCTGGAACGTTCAGGACAGGTACTTTTAACTTTGTTCATTCAACATTATACGGAATCTTTACGCAGCTGTAGCTTTGATCTCTCTGTGTTTAGGCCGTAAAGTAGTATTCAGACATATTTCTTAATATTCGGTTTGAAAGTAACCATTATCATTAGGGGATTAGTTATTACAGAAAAACGCATGATCAGGTTATATGGAGTATATACTTACAACTAAATGTATTCACTTAGTGCAAGTTATACACTGTGTGCATATAATAAAGTACCACTAAATCCTTTAGATAAGTTTTGCAGTCTAAAGGAATTGATGTCTGAGGTGCTAGTATACAGCAATACATCTCATTGTGTAACATTGGTGCCCTATAATCCATTTGCAAAGCCAGTGACACTCATGAACTCTTGATGTAGCTGAAGGAGATGTCTGTAAAAATGTTTAACGGTAGGAAATGTAGTGCAGTGGGTGTTTCTTTATTATTTTTAAAGGTTGGCTAGATTTCCTTGGCTCTGTTTCCCTTTGTCAAGACATTGTTGGGTTGGGGTGGCTTACCACATTATATCAAATAGACCTTACATAGCTAATATACAGCTTGTTATATACTTGTGCTCACTTTAGCAGACAAAACAAGAGATGATGTGAACAGGAGATGCTTTTTAAATGAACACTCGAACACAAAAAAACAAATGTGATCGTTGCCATTAGTCAGAAACCACAATTCTTAAAATTGTCAGATTCAGGGATAGGGTCTACGCACCAAATTCACTGCATTAAAGGACCACTATAAGGCACCCAGACCACTTCAGCTCAATGAAGTGGTCTGGGTTCCAGGTCCCTCTAGTGTTAATCCTGCAGCTGAAAACATAGCGGTTTCACCGAGGGTTAATCCAGCCGCTAAAGGCGCTTCCGCGATTCTCACTGTGAAAATCACAGTGAGAAGACGCTGGACGTCCATAGGAAAGCATTGAGTAATACTTTCTTTTGGCGGTTTGAGTGCGTGCGCGGCTCTTGCTCCACATGCGCATTCGGATCAGACGTCGACAGGGAGTGGAGATTTCCCCAGCCCAGAGGGAGAAAGGTTAGTGGCTGAAGGGGTTTTAAACCCTTCAGACCAGCGGGAGGGGGGACCTAATGACCCTATAGGGCCAGGAAAAAAGTTTGATGTAGTGGTTTGGGGGGTGTTGTTTTTTTGTTTTTCTAAGAGCTACATTTTCTTGTCACTGTTTATATGGCACTGAATCAAGGCTAGTGGCTTGTTGTAGCTACTGGTTTCAAGCAGGAGCCCAAATCAACCTCTTTCTGTGGTCTGTTGGCTGTGCAAAACATTCTTTGTGATTCAGCTAATTCAGTTGAAAGAAACATTATTTTTTTTAATTTTTTTTATTTTAAATATTTTCATAGAAATATGGTTACCTGCTTTTGGATCGAGCGTAACGTGGTTTTATTCTATTTTTCTCCAGAGTCATATGCAGACAGATGGGGCATCCTCTTTGTTGCTTGCTGACCCTTCCAGTGACCACCTGTTATCGCCAGTGTTTTCTACACCTAATGGAAATGTGGACTCTTCCTCATTCAGTTAGCGAACAGAGTGGAAATAAGGGTTTCATGCTGTTAAAACATTAACTTCTAAACAACCTAATGTGATTGTTTATTTTCCACCACCTTATGGAAGCTAAATAAAATCCCTAAGTTCCTTCTAAATGACAACTGGATGGATCTCAACTCAAGATGGCCTTATCTCTAATACGTTTAATGCCAGTAAAATGTTTATATATACAGTCATAAATTGAATAACTCCTTAAATGTTACTTCCACTTTTTTGTTAACCTGCTTTGCCAAGGTTTTCCTTTTTATGATTGGTACTAGCATATTAGAAACTACAGAAAATGCACTACAGTTGCAGAGAGCAAATGTATAAATCTAGACAGTGTCAGAAATACTAATGAAAAGTTGTTTTCTCTCCTTTTAAGGAGTATTTTTACTAGTAGTGTATTACAAGCTGGTTTCTGTTTGCACCATTCCTAGTATTAAATATGACTGAAATATTTCATATTTTAGGTATCACATCTTACAATAAAGTAATTGTAGTTCTGATCATTTTTATTTTCTGTTCTTTCCCCTTCTTTTACTTCGTGTTCGTGTTTTGTGTTAGAATGGACCCTGCAGTGCATTATAGTAATAGCATTTAAAATACATTTGACTATATTGCCTCTCTATTCTCCCAGATTTTATATCTTCATTTTCACATTTCTCAATTACAAGATTCATAAGAGTAAGTCACATTGGACGTGATAAAGTGTGTGTCTTTGTCCTAGTGAAACAATGGATTTAGTAATAAGTGAGGAAGCATATCATTCCTGATGAAACATGGTAGTATTTAAGTTGGTTCCTGCCATCAAAGCAGAAAAGACAGAACTCTCATAAGCCAAGTATTAAAGTGCGACGTACCTTTTTAATAATTGTACCAACACTTCATATAATAAAAATCTTTTCAAGCAAAAGCATGTACTTGTACATAAAAATCAATTTAGTGTTCCTTCAAGTGCCAAAACACCTGGTCTGTGCAGCATTAATTGTGCCAAATAATACACACAATATATAGGTCTAAGAGGAGCAAAGCAAATTATGTCCACATATAACGTACCATGATATGGCATCTGAACTCACTTTTAAAAGTATCCCATAACATAGTCACTGCATTAATGGAAGCCCAGATAATTCTCAGGATGATAAATAATATAAAATCACAGAAGTGATTTACTTGTACAGGGACTTGTCAAGTTTGATACAAGGTGTATTAAGGCATGGGATATAAGCTTTCACTTCTGTAGGGAAAAAATATAGATTCTTTTCTCAGCCCAAACTGTTTTTTAAAGAAAAATAAGCAAATCTGTCTACTCAATGTTCCAGGTAGGAATATGAATATTGGTATACTATTGGACAACACAAATTTCATTTTGATAGATTTAGAATATGCATCAATGGGTATTCCAAAAGTAACCGCGTGGTATAAGCATAAAATAGAATGTGACTGTAGATAAGAACCATTCGACCTATCTAGTCTACCCAATTTTCTAAATACGCTCATTAGTCCCTGACCTGATCTTACAGTTAGGATAGCCTTATGACTATCCCACGCATGCTTAAAGGACCACTATAGTGCCAGGAAAACATACTCGTTTTCCTGGCACTATAGTGCCCTGAGGGTGCCCCCACCCTCAGGGACCCCCTCCCGCCCGGCTCGGGAAAGGGGTTAAAACTTACCTTTTTCCAGCGCTGGGCGGGGAGCTCTCTGCCTCCTCCGATCCTCCTCCTGGGCTGAATGCGCATGCGCGGCAAGAGCTGCGCGCACATTCAGCCCGTCGCATAGGAAAGCATTTACAATGCTTTCCTATGGACGCTTGCGTGCTCTCATTGTGAGCTCTCATTGTGAAAATCACAGTGAGAAGCACGCAAGCGCCTCTAGTGGCTGTCAATGAGACAGCCACTAGAGGAAATAGGGGGAAGGCTTAACCCATTCATAAACATAGCAGTTTCTCTGAAACTGCTATGTTTATAAAAAAAAAATGGGTTAACCCTAGAAGGACCTGGCACCCAGACCACTTCATTAAGCTGAAGTGGTCTGGGTGCCTAGAGTGGTCCTTTAAACTATCTCACTGTGTTAACCTCTTCCACTTCAGCTGAAAGGCTATTTCATGCATCCACTACCCTCTCAGTAAAGTAATACTTTCTGATATTTTTAAACCTTTGCACCTCTTATTTAAGGCTGTCTTCTTGTTGTGGTAGTTTTTTTTTTTTGTTTTTTTTTTCAAATAGTCTCCTCCTTTGCTGTGTTGATTCCCCTTATGTATTTAAATGTTTCTATCATATCCTCCCTGTCTCACCTTTCCATAATTGGTTTAGCACTGAAAATAAAATTAACATTTATTTATATAGTGCCAACAGATTCCGCAGCACTTTACAAGGAGTGGGTGGACAAACAAATATGTAGTTGTAACCAGACAAGTTGGACACACAGGAACAGCAGGGTTGAGGGCCCTGCTCAATGAGCTTAAATGCTAGTGGCAGTGGCATAAAGTGACATGAAAGGTAAGGATAGTATTAAACTAATGACAGTTGCAAGAGAGGAATCAGTCGGGAGCTATTAACAGTTTAATTGATATTGGTGGGGGGGAATTACTCTGATGCCTGTATTTCAAAGAGCTATAATTTGATCATCATTGATCTTGAGTTTACACTGTTAAAGGGACAGTATAGTCACCAGAACCACTACAGGTTTTTTTGTTCTGGTGAGTATAGCCTGTCTTTGTCCACCTCCAGTGGCAGTCAATCAGACGACCACTAGAGGTGCTTCCTGAATGAATGTACTTTCCCCATAGATACATTAATTCAATGTATCTATGAGGAGATGCTGATTGGTCAGACTCAGAGTGGTGTTATGCTCTGCCCCCTGCTTCGTTGACATCATAATTGGTGATCAGTCATTTCTGATTATCTCAGCCAGGGGGCCAGACTTGCACAGTGCTGCCAAAAGGGTGAGCTTTACAGCTTTGTAAGGAGGGGCTGTCCACCTTAAATGTGTTACCACAATTGGGTCAAGAAACCCTAGTTTAAAAGAAAGGCGGGTACTCATGTATTTGCTTCATATGCATTTCAACATACATAGACCACACATGATGGCCTTATGCAGTAAGAACTACCAGGTATATGAAAATACAGTTTTAATCCTGTGAATCTAGATTGCTGGACTTGTAAGATCAAACTTTACCAACCTCCATTAAATAGGTTTTCTTCCCAAATGGTATATCTGAAGAGGCAAATTCGGTGTCCCTTGATTAACCCATTAGATGAAGGATAACTTCAATGCAAAGTTAACACTTTTTTGCACGCTATATATGCAAACACGTGATTAATAGGCCAAAGTAAAGAACAGAATCCACACTATGTAATAGTTACTTATTAGCAGTGCATATTCTGTTGGGAATTAAGGTTTTACATCGTCATACACAGCAATTAGCTCAAGCAGTGTTATAGGAGATGTATACATATATAAGGTATTCCAAATCTGAGACTAAAAAATTGGAAATTCTAGTGTAAAATTATTATACACAAAACACATACATATACACACTCCCATTATATTGATTTCTAAGCCCTCCTAATATCACAGCGTATAATTTTGAAAAAAAAAGTTTATATCTTTGAAAACTTTATTATCCAAATTATAAAGAGATCACTGTTCATATTAAAAAGGAAAAGGCCAGCCTTTTTCGGGGCTCTTGACGCCCTTGGCAGGCAAAGCTGTGCAAATTTATGAGTTATACAGAGCCTGGACCGGGGAGCTATCAATCGACACTGAGGCCCCAGGCGAGGAGTGTTGGAGACCCATTACAGCTGAGCTGTATTCCAGTAAATGGCGGTCCACTGGCCAATCCCTCTCTACACAACATACCTGGCTCGTCTGCCTCCAATTCCACATCGCAACGGATCCTCGCCAAGTCATTTCTCTTGGCCCTGTATCAAGCCTGGCTGGTGGTGGACTGGCTACCTGATAATAGGCCTACAGCTGAAACTGGGAACAATTTCCTGCCAATAGCTGGGGTTGGATGACCTATGCTTGGGAACTGGGGTGCCTCTCCATGTGTAGCCCACCTAAAAGTTAATTTTATTCCTCTAAACGGCTTACATGTTTCTGAGGGCCCAGGGGTCTTTCTTCCCCATGGCATGCTTTAGCTAGCATTACTTCCATTCCTAATGTCTTATTTTCCATGCTATGCTGTTTTTTTTTTCTATAATTGTAAAAATGTGCAGCATTTCTGACATATATTACTAATTTCTCATGTCAATTTTGCTTAAGCCAATGTGATTCAACCATCTTGTATTTTCATGCCTGCAATACAAAAATAAATCATTTAAAAATAAAATAAAGTAAAAGGCCACTCCGGTATCACAGGAGACAGATTTAAACTAGTGTTGATAGTATGATATTATAAAAAGGTTAACTACCAGGTGCTAAAAAAAATAAAAGAGTGACAGAGAGAGAAAGATATTGTATCACACCACCAAGTGGCAGATGTGATGCATCAATGTTACTTTGCATATATAATACATGATGTTGAAAGCAATATATATTTTAATTTATTTGTAGTCGGGGACAAAAGCCGTATACATGATAAGTTAGATATATGAGCAAGTCGGTTGTGGTGTGCCGAAACCGACGTATCGGGTAGGCCTGTAATAAAAGAGGGCAAAAAGTTGAATAAGATACCTTATTACACATCTTTACATTGCAAGATTCGTAAAGGCTTGTCCTACTCAACTCTAGCTCTGGTTGTGGTATGTATCTAGTAATATACTGTGGATTTCCAGCGTCCTAATGTTTATGGTGTGAGCAGGGACATTTGTCTGGAAGCAGCTGATGCTGCCCTGATTCTGGAGGAATGTCCCGAAAAGGCATTGGGGTTGAGTCCCCGCCTAGTTAAGAGGGTTCTGAGGTACATTATGAATTTAGCTGTAGTGAGTGGTTTGCCCAGCAGTGTAAATAGGGGCATATTGAGATTTGGTCCAGTGAGTGATAACCTGTAAAGGTCTGACATTTTGACCGGCACCTTATTGTCTGTAGGATAGTCCTTATGTCCCTACGTATTACATATGGTAAGAGGATGTGAACTGTTTGGTACTAGGATAGGCACTTAAGATACGGTGTTGTATTCCAGCCAGGTAAGTTTTGTAGTGTTAAGAGAGATTTTTTTAAATTGTGTGGGCACAAAGGAGAGGAGTGTCGCAATGGCGACTAGTGAACGAATATCGGTATTATGGTATTCGGTGGTAAACTTGTTGTAAAGGTGAAATCTCTATTGTATGCTCGTGATGGATAATCAGAGAGGGCAGCTCAATCCAGAAATCTGCCAAATGCCATGAGGCGAGTTAGTGCAGGATTAAGCCATGGAATGTGGGTATAGCCAGCTGCTTTATTGTCAGAGAAGCACTTGACAGGTTCCCCTATCCACTCATACCTCCCCAGGCCTTGTAGGCGGCCACTATGGGCTAGATTCCAAAGAAATGTTGATGAGGAATGGAAAGGTTTTTTTTTTTTTTTTTTTCTCAACTGGCCAGGCATCTCAGAACCAAAAGTCATCAAATTGGCTGTGAAATCAGTGTGTGCAGACACATTGGTCCGTGTAACTGGGAAATGATGAGAAATGGCAGGATCAACCTGGCCTCCTATTCCAGTGTGTTATGAACCTGAGCCATATGTGTAGGTCTGCTTACAACTAGTGCCAGAATGCAACTGTCGGTGGGAAGAAGACTCAGCGGTCGGGAAATAAATGTGCAGAATAATTCTCATGGCGAACTTCAATGTGCCCAGTAGGACTGTAGATTCATTCCCCCCCCCCCCGCGCATGTTCTTCAGAAGGAAAGGTTCCCAGGACTCCAATGCAAGGTACCTTCTCTGTAGGTGGACATGT